CAAACAAGAGGCAATTTAGCTTGGGCACATCATCCATTGTGGGGAGGGAGCGTACAGACAAAAAGAACATAGAGGTAATGCAGAACTGACCATATCTCCTCAGACACTCACAGATGTGGACACTTTTGTAAGAGTCTTTCTTGTCCTGTTAAAGTTATTTTATTTGTGGAGCTGCCAATATGGTCAAACTATTGGATGTGCTGGGTGAGGAAAGGCTTCCCAGAGAGGGAACATGTTTCAGTTGTTACCAGAGCATGATTTGGCATCTGCAGTTCAGAGTGGACTCTGACACCTTATGTCTTAGCCAGCCTTTGTTTGAAAATCCCTTTCATATTGGGCACAGATACAAGTGTGTGTAGTTTGACCCAAGATCAGAAAGAATTGTATAAGAAATAACTTATTACAGCAGAAGTTGTAAATTCTCTGGAGATAACTTATTGCAACCTGAAAGGAGTTCTTGAGAGTAGTTTATATATATATAAAACACATTTCCATCACTATTTGTATGGGAGGAATGTTGTTGTCCAAATGGACAGTTCAGTGGTGTTATAAATTTAGGAATACGGAACGGCAGCTTGCAAATGGCTTTGTTGGGAGCCGTGTTTCCTGAACTAGGGGAGTAAGATGTTGGCTGCTGAAGGGAAGGACTATGGCTATGAGCAGATAATTATCACCTCTCTTCCCATAATAAGTGAAAATGGAATAGTGGAGGTGGACTGCAAAGCATCTAAAGGCCTCTGAAAGATTCTGATATTGAAATAGTGTGTGACTGGAAAATCATTTGGCAAATGCAGCCACTCTGAACTGTAGTATCATCTTCAAATATCACCGATAAAGCTTTGATTACTTTAGGAAAGTTTGGAATTGAAAGATAAAATATTGTTTATCATATTGGAAAACCAGGTGGTGATGGGTTGTGCCACTGAAGAAGGAAGTTCTCAGGTGCTGTCATGATTTCAAAACAATGAGACATTTGGGAAACGTTTGAGTTGCGAAAACCTTAATTAAATAAAATTCCTTTTTGGCAATTTAAAGAATTGATGAAGGGAATGTGATGCAAGATCTCATGGTAGATCAGTAGAGGCACTTTTAATGTGCTTAGGCCTCTACCTGAGCTAGTGTCTGGTAATTATTATTTATTGGTATCTATGTACCAATTCATGAATTATACAGAGTGTCCCTCATGAGGAACTAGGAGGCTGTGAAAATAGCAGAGATCCTAGAGAATGTATTCTTAACCCAATTTAGCGTCCCAGGAATCTTGCAAACTGCTCAAGGGATGAACTTCTAAACCACAGTGTTGCAGCTTGATTTTAAGATTCTTTTGATTTACGTCCTATGCAACCATAATCCAACAGACTGCAGAAAACCTTCATCTGGACTCTAGGAGTGAGTCCAGATGAGTATGCATGTGCAGTTTGTGGCGCTGCAGACCCATCTGCGGCACTGCATACCGCATGCACACACGTGAAGGCATTCACTGGACTGCTAATTTGCAGTGGGGCAGCACATGGCAGCAGCATGTGCCACCTGAAACCAGAGCCTGACCAGCCAGAGCCACACTCTGGCTGCCAGCCAGACTCTGTGCACCCAGCTCACTGCTGATGGAGCCCTGGGAGGCTCCGAAGTGCTGGCCCCAGCCTCCCTACCTCACCTGGGGCAACTTGCTGCGTGCCAGAGCACGCATGCATGGGCGTTCCCCGGGGACAGGTAGCAGCCACACAACTTTGTGATGCTGCCATTTGTCCCCAGGGAAACGCACATGTGCTCCATCTGGACCCACTTTAGGATTTTATCTGGGTACCCATGTAGAACAGCACCAAAGGACTGAAAGCAACATATCCCATTCCTTTTGATGACTTATTGAAGAGCAAAGAATTTATAAAATATATTCCAGGATTCCTCATGTTTGGCCTGAGCTATGGACCCCAGAAAATCTTCTACGTGGAAAACCTGAAGAGGAACAAAGGGACTTGGACAGTTTGGATTATGTGGAGAATATATCATCCAAAACTGGAGAAAGGGCCACTCAACTAGAGGAAAATTAAAGATAGCTGTGGACAAAATTAAGATTCTCTCTCTGAATTAAAGTTTTATGGGGAAAGGGCTCTATGTGGTATGATTCCACAAGTTATAGAAGGAGGTTGCATAATGCTTTGGAGTAACCCTGTAAAGTACTGATCTCAATAAATGAAGTGGTATATAGGATACAGTTGGGCACAGGGAGAAAATTCCAATTACCAGCAAGTCCCTGCAAGGTCTTAAAAGGAAGACTGCTTCAATGTGCCTGCCCCTAGAGCCTGCAAAAGTAGTCAGAGAAATGGGCAGATGCTACAGCTTCGTTAACAACTTCTCCATTAGAAATAAAAAAGGTTCATCTCAGGCAGCAGTTTCCATCAAAATAATAGACATTCATCAGGGACTTATTAAAGAAGACCCTTGCGAGAAGTTGAAGAGAAATTGGACAAGGAGAAAAAGACTCCAAGGAAATTTGGATAGGAGTAAAACCAGTTTGGACTGATGACGTGAAAACGTCTTGAAAGAAAAACAGTATATAAGTAGTCAAGCTTATATCAATTCTAATTAATAAATTACTTCTTTCTGTTTGGAAATAGGCTAAACAGGATGTCACCATTTTGGATTCCCTCATGATGGTAGACAAACTCAACTGGTGTTATGATAGTGGTTGGGTGAACCCTTGTTGGAGCTGATGGATATGATAGCACCCTTCTTCATTTGAGATAAAAATGAAGAGCAAATAAACTTTTAATGGAGAAGATAAGGAGCCATTGTCTAAGAACACAGGCTATATGCCAGGTCAAACAGGACTCTGGACAGGTTTGACTGGGGGATGAATGAAAACGTAGTGAGCTGTGGATGGATGAGAGAAATGGCAGAAGCCCTGCAGAAGCACACCGAAAGAAAAGAAGTGGAAAAGAAACCTGAGGGAAAGCCAGAAAGGACTTGGAGCATTACCTTGAAAAACAGCCAAGAGGACACTCAGGGACGAGACAGTCCTGACTTCATCATGATTTTTTCCCACTGAAGAAAATGACTGACAAGACCCCTTATTTTGGCTAACCTTTTGGGTTCAGCAGAATAACCTTAGGTTGGATGGTTTAGGAATAACCGAACGAAACCAAAAAATCTCCTTTCCGAAGGGTCTTCATCATTAGCATTTTGGAGGTTTGGGGAGTTTTTGTTTTGTTTTAGGTTTTGTTTTTGTTTTTTCTTCTCTCCATTTGCTAGTAGAATGGCATATGCCTGGTATCTGAGCTGTCATTAAGAGACATTGAGAAACCAAATGAACAGGTAAGCAATTACCAGTTAACATATCATACTGGTTTACATAAAGGTGAGGTAGCTTTCTAAAAAGAAAAAATTGTGCAGAAAGGGGTTATTGCATATGGTTTTATTGTTACAGTTATCTATAGAAGCTTAGTGCTACAATGATGAAAATGGTTAATTTACTGTTTGCTTTGCATACCTTGCAATATTCCTAGATGCTGTTTCTTTTGCCTAATTCATTGAAGTGGCCTAATAGTTACATTTGTAACCTCTAGCTACTCTTAATTTTTCTGTCAGTGCATCTTTGACATCTCCTACTTAATGATATGTTAATTGTACAGCAGAATGACACATTCTTCAACATGCAGATTACCTATTTCAATTATAGCCAAATAAATCTCCATTCCTAATGACTAAGCATTTCTCTTGTGCACATTTGCCGTATAATGGACATTTTCTTTTCCACTGAAAATTACTCTCTTCTTGACGACACTTATGCACTTTATTCTAAAGGTGAAGGGATGGTGATTCACTCTGTTCCACTGGGTTTATCCATGTTCAAATTGTCATATATTCTGGATAGCCTGACATTTTTTTCCCTATGTTATTTTTCTGGGGTTCAGGCATAAATTTATATATTTGCCTAAAGAAAGGGATCACACCTATGTAAAACAGATTGCAAAGAAGTAAACTCACTTGTCATCCCTTGGGCTATGTTTTGCACCCTCAATTCCCCAGTGACTTTAATGCAAAGCTATCTTAATGGTGTAATATTTAACTGATTTAAATACCAAACAACAGGGCAAGAAAGAAACACCACATCATCACAGCACCTAATTCTGTTTAGCATAATATAATTCTTTGCCTGTGAAATGCCTCCCAAATTGGCTGGCCTGCTAATGTCAGTCTCCAAAGTCAATGAACAGCTGAATAAAATGAGGGGAAAAGAACCTTGTGTTATATCTGAGCTATGTAACTTCGCTGCCAAGTTGGCTCCCTCTTGGGGGATGTGGCCAGCCGCTGGGTGCCTGTGAACTAGTGAACTTGGGCAGCCAGGCAGCTGCTGGATGGGGATTCCCTTTGTCTGCTAGTGCAGTGACCCAGGAGGCTTCCCCTGCTGCTCACAAGAAAAAAAATATTGGCAAATTGTATCTGTGTGGCCAGAGTTCCTGCTTCATTCCAAATAGCCCTAGGAATTTGTGGCACCTTTTCATTCACAAGTAGGTACACAGTGCTGCAATTTTAATTTTTAAAATGAGAATGCAGCAGTTGATAATGCACATTAAATTATTTATTTTCCAAGTTTGCCCAAATACTGACATCCATTCAGTAAATTGTCCAATGTTACAAGGATGTTTTTCTGATGTTTAATTGGTTTTCATATCATAGCAAACACTTTAATCTCTCTAACATTCTTGAAGATGTCAAAGTTTGCATGCTGCCGGGTTTGTGGTTTAATTTTTTTTTTAAGTAGCATAAATGCATGGGACATTTTTGGAGTACAGTGACATGAAATGTGGCAACAGTGCTAATAAGATAAGGTAAAAAGCCAAAAAAATGTAGGACATGTATGCAGATAGATGATGGGGAGTATACTGTTACCACTATCACCTGTGTGTGAATTTCTTCTACCCCTGTGCATATCCTAATAATCAGATGTGTTACATTATAGATACCAAGTTTTTTGTTTTGTTTTGCTTTTATTTTGAAAGGACTACAGTATGCAGCCTTTCTCCCAGACAACAGCAAAAAACAAGGTGAAAAACTTTTACACCATGTGGTCTTGAATTCTGTTATATTTTCTGTTATTTTCTACATTTCTGTCTTCCATTAGGATAGTTTAGATTATTACATCTTGAGTTTTGAGTTATTATATTAATCACTGTCATCATCCATATCACTTTAAATTCTGAGTTCAGTCTACATTATGTACCTGTAGTTTGAATTTTTTTCTCCTTGGGGGCTGGAGGTGGTTGTTCATTTTACACTTCAAGATGTGTAGTCGTAATGGTTGCCCTTTAATCAGTCATTTTTGGAGTGGCTGATGACACCTGGTGGTATATTTCATAAATGCAGACTTAACCATGTTTGCATCTGGGCATATTTTAAGCATTTTTACCTGTTTTGACTAAAACATTGGCAACTAGATTTTAAGTTACTTAAATAACTCTGATTGCCTGCAAGAGGAATATATTGGGAGCAGATTCTGCTCCCATTGACTACCATATAAAGCGATGGAAGTACATGTGGTCAGCTTAGAAGAAAATTTATAATTTATTTCTATTTTTTTTTCTGTTGAAGGCAATTGTGGAGCTTTTATAAGGGACCTGTTACCTTTTTTTTTAATTAATGAATATTGTACATAAATGAAAGTTTTATTTTACATACACATGTACAGTAAATGTAAACTGAAATTTCTTTCATAATAAAATGGATGAATGAATTGGAATATTTGTTTTTAAATGTCTACAATGGGAATTCTGTGGGAAGTATCTACTGCTATTTTATATAAGGTTATTTATGATTTCTGGCTTGGACATCTTCCTCTTGCCAACAAGTATATTTGCACAGGGTTATAAAACTGTGAATCTAGTGGCAAGTATATTTCCACAAGTGAAACATCTAAATACCAAAGTATTTAGCTCTTTGAATATTCACTTCTAAATCCTGAACTGCATAATCCTTTGGTAAAGTAACAAACTATCGGTAGCCCCGTTAAAAGGCCTTTAGCCATCTTGGCTTTTATTAGGGCAAATCATTGATCAAAAGGTAGATTACTCTTTCTTTAATGGCCCTCTTGCTGTTGGATAAAGTTTGCAAAGTTCTGTAAAGAGTAAGAGTGTTAAAGTAAGTAAAAAAGGCGCTCAGATTCTTGTTTCATCTTGATTTTTTTTTGGTAGTCCAGGAATAAATCAAAGACAGCCATGATGTAGTATTTTTTAGCTGTTTCCAAAACATTCTGAAGAAAGAACCATAAATTGCACTGCCTTTTTCTTTGCTGGGGTTTTGTGATGTAAGAATGTTTGTAGGTTTCAGAATAATATTAAATGTGTCATCCTGAGGCCCACAATATCCAGTGAATGAGGAACACAAAAATCTGACAGATATCCTGTTCATCTGAACACCAAACATAAGTAAGCAAGGTGCTGAGTTCAGTGGGAATGTCGTTAAGATTTTAAAAAGTGCTATCCCTGCATTTTGTCATAGATGGTGACTGTCATAGAGTGTAGGGGATTTGGGTGTAGGATTACCCACGGTTCCCTTTGTTCTGGAGGTGTTTTCTTTTGAGGTGCATTGTGGTCACTCTTCTGTGACAAGGGAAGAGGAACTGTCACCTCTTTGTATAAGCACCATCTCTTCAATGGCTGTGGAGGCCACTCACACACGGAGTAAAATGACAATAGTTCCCAGGCATGGGAAAATGAAGTCAGGATTGTTAGGATTTTGAAGCAGCCTTTTATGTGGTGAGAACATCTCTTTGAATAGTTAGTTCCACCTCCACAAAATGAGTTTAAAAGTAATTTGATCGGAGTTTATGAAAGTCATGTTTATTAAGAAGGAAGACTGCTTTTAGAGTTTGTTTGTTTATTTCCAAAGAATGGAAAATCAATCAAAAAGTAAAGTATTTGCCATTAAAGGAATCAGTCATACGTGCAGTAGAGAAGCTGCTTCCCCCTACGTATGGGGAAATCTGTGGCAGGTCAAATAACATCCACAAACATAAACACTAAAGGGTGGCCACTAGCTATTCTGTCTCTGTTTTAATGTTAGAGACTCCCAGGGCTGAAGTCTATCCCCAGCTGCAGACATGCTGCTCCCACTGTCTTTTGTGAGGCTTGTACACATGTACCAAAGGTCAGAGTTTGGCTCTTGAGGCTAAATTTTCAGGGAAGAATGTATCAAAATCTCTTTATCAGCCCAATCAAATTCTTTATCTTCCAGGGGGTACTTGAGGGACAACCCAGTAATATCTAGCTCCACACACAAAATATTTTTTTCTTTCTGAATTGTGTGAGGGTTACTTAGTACTATGTTCATCATATTATTTATTCTTCATGGTTTGCAATTTAATACAGAAAACTTGTCAGTTCAAATAGAGCAAAAGGCTTTTTGGCCCACACTTTTAATACATAAAAATCAAGAATAGGACAACACATCCATGGAAAGGGAAAATAGTCCGAAGAAAACACCTGTAAGGTGAACAAACATTTTTTTTTTTGGTTAGTCTAACAGTTAAGGACCCAAAATTAAAAGTTAGCAGTTAATACATCATATAAGACTAGAACCCAAACCAACTTTTTTATTATGGGTAATTTTTAATATACGTTTTGGGACTTAGTTCATGCTTGGGTTTGTGTTAATAACCAAGCACTTAAAAGAAAGGAAATCTAGCAGATTTGAGTTATAGTGTGTTCAATCAATGAAGCATATAGTATGTCGCCCCCCTGAAGTTTTAACACAAACAAGGTACAATGCACTTCTTCAAATGTTTATAATGTCTCATTGCTGCTGGATTTTAAGAAGTATCAATTGTTCTTAATTCCTGCAGATATTGACAGAATATCATACCAAATTATTTTGTATCTTTTGTAGGACTGGGAAACAGAAAATCATGACTGGTATTGTTTTGAATGCCATATGCCTGGAGAGGTGTTGATATGTGACCTGTGTTTTCGTGTGTATCATTCCAAGTGTTTGTCTGAGGAGTTCAGGCTTAGAGACAGCAGTAGTCACTGGCAATGCCCAGTTTGCAGGGTGAGTACCTATGAGCTTTAACGTGCTGATTAGAGGGTTGATTTCATTAATAGTTTCATTAAGGTGTCACAGATTGGCCAGGTTAATGGATTAAGCATTGCTATTGAATCAATGATAAGTATGTAGGGCACCTAAATGAAGATTTCAAAATGTTGTGCATATAATAGACTACATTTTTGAAGACTAGAAAATTTGCAAAATGCTAAAATGAATACAGTGCTTCCTCCCTGTAAGCCTTTCTGGTAAAAATAAATGTTTCTTTTCCTGTAGTTTTCAGTTTTAATAAGTTTTTAAGTAATTTTGTGTAAGTGTGAAATTCAGGCCCTTAGAAAACCTTTATAGCGAGGTTACACTGTATTTAGACAGAACCTTTCTATCTTTCATACTACTCTTTTGTGCCTGTTAAATATTTTGAATTGTATACACTTGTATTCGATTCTGGGGTAGCTTCTGTTATCAGTGTTACTTAATTTATGGAAAGAGAAAATGGAAATGAAAGCTGTATTATTGGGAAAGACCAAATGGAATAGGCAGGTAGGTATTTAGATAGCTTTCATAATTCTATTTATTGATTTTTTTTTTTAATTTATTTCTATGAATGCACACAGTATACTGTGTTGGAATGTTTGTAGAAAAGTGTGTATGTATGTTGGTAATGTGTGATTATAGTGTATTGTAGAAATCTGTATCATCAGGAAATAAATTCTGTATGAGATGCTACTTTTTATTGATGGTCATTTTAAAAACGTAGTATATATTTGTACCATAATATAGTATTTTATTGAACATATCATTAAAGCTTTTGCTTTATTGGAATAAAATCATACATTATAAAAATCAGGGGCATACTACTAATGAGGGCTGCTTCATAACATATGGGATGAAATCCTGGCTCTTATAATTAATTAAGAATGTTCCTACTGGTTTCAGTGGAGCCAGGATTATACATTGCTTTTCCTTTAAAATTGTTGTCCTTATGGGTATGGTACAGGGTGAGATTGAGGTTTTTATGTGCACTGTAAGAATGACCACAGAGCTGTGCTATTGCTGGCCTTGAATCGGTCAAATACACCTATTTCCTGCTACCTTTGCATGTGTTCAAGCAGTAAGGGACACTCTGAGGCTTTATCAAATGGAGGGAATAATACATGTGACTGTTTGAAAGGGGTATGACTGGTACAGAAAGGCACAAAACACCATAACGGGCTCTATAACATTGGAGTCCTGAAAGGGAAATGAAGAGC